TGGTCTAAAGAAATATTTAGCCAGTGGTTGTCACTATTTTAAGCATAACAAAATGTTACCCGATTTCAATGAAAATTATTCACTTGTGTAACAGTACATATGACGTTTTGTTAAAAATTTGTACATAATGGAGAAAAATGGATATTTTCCAATTCGGCATACAGGAATTACTGTAAAAAAATGTAAAAATTCCAAACCAATAAAACCATCACAGGCCTGTGCAATTCTTCCATTATCTTCATTAAAAAACATACGCAAGTTGGTAACTACCATATACAAGGACTTCCACTGTTGTATGCAACTATTTATTGCTTCCACGATTTTGTGAGGAACCTTGAAAGACTGGAATACTCTGTTGGATGTTGGTTACAGTCTGTTTTTCTGGATTTACATAAATCTATTGAGAGCTGGATTAAGTCGAACTCCAAACGATTAGCCTACACGGCATCCTAGCCTTTCACATACGAACTTAACATTCTGAGCATTCACAGTAGCCACGAGAAAGTGAAATAAAATTCAATCCTCAATGTTAATAAATTTTACATCAAGCAGCAAGATATCTCTTCATTTAATTTTTTAATGCTTCCTTAACATCTTAAGTTTCCATTGTGAGTTTTTTCTCAAGTGTGCAATTATTTGACATTTTCAGCAAGTTAAAGGTTATTTAGGTAATTGAGCATTATAATTTCCTAACAAACGTAACCGATGTAAGGTATTTTAGTGTTATAATTTAAATACAAAAGGGGAAGTAGGGAATGAATGTTTGTCCTGTGTTCCATCATGGTCAACAAAAATAGCTGTTTTTATGAGAAATACAAATTGTCAAATAACCTTTATATATAAATTAAAGTTAATATTATTAATGAATTGAAAGATAAGATTGAACTAAAGGATAAATATGGAATATATAAGATTATGTAGTTGTAGTATAAGTTATATTGGAGAAATGTGCAGAAACTCGAAATTTAGTACAAGAAAACATAAAAATGCAAATGATTGATTAAGATCGAATGATTCGGCCTTGGCGGAACATGTGGCGAACTCTTCAAATGTTATTGACTGAAACAATGAAATTTCTTAAAAACGTAAAATTTAAAACAAAAACAAAAAACGATTTAAACATAATCCTAAGAAATAGTTAAAATCAAAATAAGCTTGAATAGATTTAGATCTATGTGTCACGGAAGTGAATTTTTGTATTTTTGTTTTGTAAGTCGTGTCACTGTTCGATATGCTAATTTCCCCGAAAGGGCGCAAAGGCCGCCTGGAGGGGAAGTCACCTGTTTTAACCACTCACACCACTATACAGAAGTGCGCTGTCTGCAAGTCAGTAGACACTAAAATGACGTCACATAAGGGACGGTCAACGTTGTAACATATACTGTGATGACGTCAATTAAACGTGCGCATGCAATGAATCACAAGAAAAAATATTCACTCTGTAGGCTACAACATATAAACTTCTAAAGCAAGAAATAAAAGTATTTGTTACTCTTAATTATGGTTTTACTTATTTTTGAAACAGAACACTTTCGGGGACCCTGCGGAAGTACATCTATTTTTGTAGACGTATATTTACTGATAGCATAAATGAGTCTCATCTGTCCTTCTTTGTCTCCTGAAGATGGTGGATCATGTCCACCGAAACATGTAGAGTGTGCTTTTTCTTTTCATCTTACACAAATAAATCATTGTGCATTGAGAAACGTTGGTGTTGTCATTTTATTTTTAATTTTATTGAAACTATGCACAAGGGTTGTCAGTTTACTACGAATAATTATAGATAATGACTATATCTAACGAAAATGTTCATTGGAAGAAACAAAAAAAAAAGAATTTTGAGGTATCACAAGTCTGCATTATTCGCATAAAGTACTTGTTGAAATTCTTGTAAATATTTGTAAGGATAATCAGTTTACATTTTACTTTTTTTAAGTAACTAGTGCGGTGGTTAATATACCTGGATTGTGAATCCGAGGTTTCACGGTTTTCATCCCGCATAAGCACATCCCACATCATAAAAATGGTCAAAATCAACTATTCAGTCAAAACAAGAGAGTTAAGCGAAGATAGCCTTTTGTAGCTTGGCGCGACAATTCTGAAAAAAACAAACATTTGAAAGAACTACTAATAGTTGTCAATCAGTCCATCATCTTACAATAAAGGTTTTACTTTCAGCTTACTTCCATGCGTGATGTAAATTTTGGTTTATCTACTCCTTTCTGTGTGCATTATAATTTCGTTCCCTATTCCCCTTTCTTCGAAACATACAGTTATTTGCCTCTTGTACTTTCGCTAATAACTTTATGCGCTAGAGCTGTGTTTATCAACCACCAGCCTACAGACCAGAGTCGGTCACAGCCAACTTACTGGTCTATGGGATTTCACAAAAAGAAACAAAAAAGTTCAAAGACTATTCATATCTAAATCATTACGGTTTTTCGTTGTACTTGCATTTTAGTAATCCGCGAAAGTTTAGAGAACCAATGAATAGCCTAACTGTGGCTGCTAATCCTACATTCGGGGCCGTATATTATTATAGGAACCAGAATTTAATCTAAACGTAACCCATTTAATACAGTTTTTTTTTTTTTTTTACATTAAGGACAAAGCTACACAAAGAATCTGTGTTCTGCCCACCACAGGTATCGAAACCCGGTTTGTAACAGTACTAGTCCGCAGATATATTTAATGCATAGCAGATGATTACAGATCCTGTACGCTTATTGAAGTTAATAGTTAACAAAGAGGCCAGAAATATGCAAGAAATTAGAAATGTGGAATTCCAGGAAACAGGCTGGACAGAGCTTGTTTTTGGAATTTAGAATGCATATTTTCATCGTGACAGTTCTTGATTTATGGCGAGAGTTTGCTGCTTAAACAATTTTAGTGTACTATGATGCAGTTAGAGCTAGTGCTTTTTCTACAAGCACAATTAAGCTGTAAGTTAGTAAGTGGTAGAGAGTCGTGACAGGAAGTTACTTCATGCACTTTGATGTAGTTAAACAAAGCAATTTATAACCTAAACTGTCTTGTATGATAACTTAAAAGTAATTACTTACAGATTCACAAGTTTATTGAAATCACCAGAAACAGGATACAAAAATGATACAAGTGTATTGTTTATGTATTTACAAGGAAAATTATTTCTTAAAAGACAAATTTTGACTAGTAATACTCAGATTCCAAGCCACATTATCCAAACACACGTACTTTTACAAATAGTGGTATTTGTACGAAACAAGTCCGATATTTTTGAATAATTGCTTTTTGGAAATCAAGAATTTCGTAAATTTTACGAGTTAAAAAAAGGTAAAGAAATCTAAATACGTAGGTAAACAAACGGGTTATTAACCACTTCACATACGAGCTTTTTATCATAACAACAAAATGGGACTAATCACAATACCCTAAATACGTTTGAAGCAACATTCTTATACTTAATTAGTATATATATTGTTACGACAGCGGAGGTCACGTGACGCTAGTAACACGTCATGAACTTCTAGAAAAATCATGTCCCTTCGTGAAG